GTGCGGCGGGGCGGGCGGCTGCCGCGCGGGCGGTCGTCGCGTTGCCGGTGATCTTGGCGGTCGTCGCGCCGCCGGTCGTCGCGCCGTCGGTCGTTGTCGCGTGGACGTTCGTCGCAGTCTTTACGGCGGTCGGGATCGTCGCGATCTTTGCGGCGGTCGGGATCGTCGCGGTCGCGGAAGGACCTGTCCGGCTGGGGCTGCCGCGGCCGCTCGCGGCTGGGCGAGCGCGACCGAGCTCCGCCTGCCATCTTTGAGCGCGGCCGATGGCGTGGATACGGATTGTGTGTGTGTGTGTGTGTGTGTGTATGTATTGTTTTTGAGTGGGTTGTTTGTGATGTCACTGGCGGGCGGTCAGAAAGGATTGCGCCTTGTCGTTTTGGGTGTCTCCGACTAAGCGGAGCCGCGTTTGAGGTTTGTTAGGGGGTTAGGGTTATCGCTAATGTGGGCCTATCAGCATATCTGCGGTCGTGTCGCCCAACGCATTCGCTCATTTTGAGCATACATATTCTCCATGCCAGTTTCTGACACACCCAACATCGCCCAGAGCTTAGCCGTCCCATGGTTGGACGCATGACCCTACAAGGCGCGGGCAGGGGCATCTCTCAAGGGTTAATCGGTGGTTCTGCGATTTTACTCGGTGAGACGCTGGCTGGCAGCGACCAAAATAACATCGTTGCCTCTCTTGGTCAAGAGCATTAACCTTGGAATGGCCCCGTTGCCAACGCCTTCGCCCATGGCAACTTTGGGAATATGCATGTTTTTTAATGCAACTACACCTTCCTATCCTCGTCGTCCCAGGTTTTCTTATCAGAGCCTCTAGTCATTCGCATGCATGCAGCAGTCCCACAGCGCCTGGCCTTGGGCTAAACCGCGCCACTATTTGCCGCCTTTGGACCCCTAGTTTGCTTGCCTCCTGCCTGCCTTGGGGACGGCGATCGATATCGAGATGCCTTATGCCGCGGGCCCGGCACGACAGTGTTAAAAAACCACCCTCCGGAGTGGTCCGTGCGGACGGCAAACAGGGAGAGGCTGGAGAGAGATCGGAAGAGATTGACAAAAAAAAACGAAGAAAACTGCCGGATGGGGTACAGATATCGTCGGCTCCAGGCAGGTTGCATTCGGGGAGGGAAGGTGAAGCGGGCGTGCATGAAAGATGGGCGCTAAAGCCCCCCTCTCTCCCCGCTGCCTTGTGTGCGCACGTGGAGATCAAGCGATTAAACCTCAGGTTCGGCAAAGGGCTGCAGGTCGAATCACACCGCCTCTATTGAACCTGATCCAATGCCGCCCAACCCGCGGCGGTGGATGAGAGCGGGTGGCGCCTTGATCCGTACTACAAAGCAAGCCGAGGAAGTCGGCGAAGAGATTCCCATAAACGGACCAGGACCGGTGGATCCGGGGGTCAAGTGTTGCGTGGACGGGCGACGGGGGCCCGCCGTTGCACCGAGGCCTCTTGGGACGGCTCTATCTGCAATGTGTCTACATACTAGCTAGCACCTGCGAGAGTCGGCAGATGGACGGTGCGTCCCCGCCTAGAACGGCTAGAATGGTCCTAGCCCATGAGCAGCTCTGGGAGAGCGCAGGATCCGCAGGCTCAGATGATGGGTGTCCCTAGCGGGAGAGAGGCATGGGACGGGAGCGCCGCTTCCTTGGTGACGAGTCCAAAGCTTGTCGCTGTCCGCGCCTCGGGGGGAGATGCAAGGAGGCCGTCCACGGACGCTCCCAGACTGCGGCGCGCGCGTGCTCGCAACGTGGCCTGCGCGCGCCAGCCAAGTGCCTTGCGACGACGGGCGGGTTTCTGTCTGCGGGGGCTCGGGTCGGACGAGAGACCAAAGCCGGCTGGAGGCCAACAAACTAGCGGCCGGCTTCAAGATTTTTTTAGGTTGATATGCGCTCTGTGGGACCAACAAACTTGGCCGCCTCAAAACGACGGTGAAACCCTGTGCGCAATGTGATTTTTGTCTTCTTCTTTTTCTGTCGTGCCCATATGGACTCAAAACAAATCCCCCCACCGAGACCTTGCAGGCTCGCAGAAACTCGCTGCCCTGGACTTGCCTGCGGGGGAACGGTAAAAAAGGTTGCATGGAAATGAAAGGAGCCGACAAGGGGTTGTTGGTCCCACGGCCAAATTGATACCATCCCTCGCTGGGCTCAATAATCTGGCATGAACTGCACTACTGTTTTACACGCACAAAGGAAAGGGGGAGATTCAACCAGGTTACCCATCCCGTCACATATGAATTGGCGAGGGGCATAAGACGACATTCAATTTTTTTTTATCGTCCCTTACGTCTCATCCCATCTAGTCTATGTACTTGGACACATTCAGGGTCTTGCTGACTTCAGCTTGTGAAATGGCGGTTGCTGCTTGAGCTGGGAAATTAGGATGGATCCTACGGCAATGGCAAGAGATAGCGTGGCAATAGACACAAAAAGGAATATCGGCGGTGCTATGCGGAGCTTCTCAGCTCTCCTGCTCGACGCGCACGGGTGGTTTTTTGCCGTAATAGGATGGCAATCACTTTAATAATGTTTTGTCCGTCTAGGCGTCCGTGAAACAAGGATTGGGACTGTCACACCCTGCTAAGGCTTGGTATTTCTTTCCTTCTCGGACAGCACTAGTAAATAGGAAGATCAACCTCACGCGACGCGGACGAAACAGAATGAAATCAACACCCAACACTCGCTCGATGCCGTGATGAAGTGCGCGTGGCATGGCCGTCGTTAAGCTTTGTGAGTTCCAAGCTGGGAGAAGATCATATGTGGTCCGAGCAGGCTTCACTGTTGGGGGTGGACCGATCTGGTAGCAGACTGGCATGGGCGTTCCCCAGATGGTAGTCTATTGTTTGGATCGGCAACATCCCTCTCGACTGATGGCCACGACCAAGCGCGGCGCCCAAACAGTAATCCTGCACTTCTAAAAACTCCAAGCGAACCCCCCGTTATCTGAGATTATCACCTGGATATCATCTTCTGGATTTCCTTTGCTATTTCTAAATTTCATGCTTTTTTGCGTCGTGTAAACCATCGAGGGCCACTTTCGTGCCGCCAGGAGGGGCTGCGGAGGCCGACGAGAAAAATTAGCTTTGGGCGGCCTGCTCGAAGGTCCGTGCATATTGGGGCTGGCCTGGGCCAACCGTGTGCCCGGGACAGTGTTCACGCGTGCTGTTGCTGCTGCTGAAATGGGGTGGTGAATGCTGCGATGTGCAATCATGCAGGCTGCCCATGCCACGCCTGGTTGTCCTATTGTTTGTGCGGCTGGGTTGCTGCTGTAGTCAGATTTCATTTTTTTTCCCCCCCTGCTTGATCATTGTCGTCATCAACTCGATCATCACCAGCACCGACGGCCCAGTCCGTCCAGTTGGCCAGGCCAGATGCAGCGGGCTTCGTCTGCAAATAGCAGCACGTGGAAGGAGGACCAGGGGGTCAAACTCCACAGCCCACGCACAAACGGGACCGCCTACGCCGGATCGGGCATCTCGTCCAGCTGCACCAAAAGTGACTGGTACTGGTCAATGTTGAATGGGATGCGATATCTCTTCCTCTAGGATGTGCCAGCCAAGGCAACCTGGGTGAGAGGTTGTTGGCCGAGGTGAGATGAAATTTGCTGGAACGAATCGACAGGCAGCAGGAGGGAGGCGAGGAAGCAAGAAAAAAAAAGAAAACCCAAACAACAACAAAAGAACCTTGCTTTACAGGCCTCCCCTCCCTTCCCGGCAAGGTTGGCGGACTCGGTGGTCAGCTCTCAATCGATGCAATCATTGGGCCACTGGTTGTGCCCCCTCCCTTCTCTGCCGCACCCACACACTCCTGCTCTGCTGGCACAATCACACGAGGCCGCCTCCATATCAGTCCATCTCACTATATCTCAGTCTGGTATCGCAGCATTGAGCACAGGGTCGGGAGCGGACGGCCTACCTAGCCACCACAGTCGTGCAGCCCGCCCCCTGCAATAATCCTAAGCACAACCGCCCGCGTCGTCAGTGGAGCGTCGTCCCGTCCACAGACCCCTCCAGGGATTGATCCTGGTCGCAACGCAGCCCGGCCAGCATCTCGCATGCCAAAGGCCTGGCGGCCGAATGCTGGCTTCCCATCTGCAGCAGCGATCCCAGTGGGCCCAGTCAACGGCGGCCCCTGGTCAATTGGTCCCAGTCACAGGTCCAACCATCAATCTCGCTCCCACCCTGCAGCAGCCAGTCGCCGTCACTGATTCATCCAGCACAGTCCCCTCGGACTCGGCCTGCCATCGACTGCTACCTCCCCGCGCGCCGACGAGACACTCACACACACTCCAACTAGCCGGTGGGTTCGTTCGAGTCTCCATGTTGCCGATGCCTTGTCATTTGTAAATCCTCGCTCCTTTTCTTCCTTGTTGCGACAATTGCATCGCGACCCACGTTCCTTTTTCATTTTAGTCATACGCTCTCTCTGTTGTCTGGTGCCGCAAATTCGCTCGCCCCCTTTTTCGGTTGTTTGTCGCACGCAGTTTGGCAGACGTACATGCCTCTGGGCGCGTCTGGCACCCAGCCTTGGAGCCTCGGAGTCCACCATTCTGGCGACTGTGCCAACCACGTAGCACTTCGCACCTGCCTCCCCGCCTGCCTGCTGCACCGGCGCCGTTTGGGTCGTGCTTCTCCTAAACGGCCCCTCGACTAGACGCTTGCGTGACTCGGGCCAGCGCTACGATTGGGCCTCCATCTCGACCTCGTCCGCGCACTCGAGTTTGGGCGTCCCAGGGCAGGAAGGAGCACGGAGCAAGACACCCGATCAGGGCCGAGAGAGGAGGAACCAAACAAGACCGCGCCTGCCCTCTCCCCACCCGACTGCGGCACCGTGCCCGCCACCTCTAGTCCGCCGACGTCTCCCATCGCTCTCCAAGCCACCTCCCAGATTCCGCACGAGGGACAGCACACCCGGTCCCTCCTGCCCACGCCGTCCAGCGGCTCTAGAACCGATAGAAGCTGCTTCTGGTGTCGCCCTGCTGCCGCTGTCACCGCCGCCGCCGCCGCCGCCTGCTCTCTCCATCCACCTGCTGCCCGGCCACGCGAATGCCGGCCGTCGAACGGATGTCCATGCAATAAACCAAGGAATATATCCCCGGGGGCACTTGTGGTGACTGCCACCGCCCGCCCTCCACGCGAGCCATGGAGGCCGCCGCCGACCTCGCAAGGACCCGTTCTGCAACGACCGAGCGACCCGATACTCGTCGATATCGCAGCGACTCGTCTTCGTCTTCCATCGGGAGCCCCATGTTCTCGCCGAGGTTGGCCACCGCCGCGCCGCCAGATTCGAGAACCACCAATCTCAGGAGGATCCCATCCAGAACCGCGAGGGAAGACCGGCCCACTGGCGGGAGCCTGGGTCGATTAAAAAGCAACGCAAGGCCCCCGCTGCTGCCCGTGACGGAGCGAAAGGGCCACGACGATGGCAAGACCGAGGCCCGGTTCAGGAAAGATGCCGAGAACGATAGAGCGGATATCACCCCCGATGGAGGTTCCGCGAGCAGGGGAGGCCGCAAGTTTACCGTGGCCAATGTTGGCAACAATGGGCGGATATATCTGAGGTAGGTTTGGGCCAGCGGTGATGAGACGTTGGTGCACTTGTCCACCTCCTCTCCTAGGCGTCTCGCCCAGGGGCACACACTTACTGACTTTGCCCCGCCTAGGCCAACAATACGACCTGCAAATCAGCGTTATCCCCAGCCTAATTTCGTCTTCCCCATGACGCCACCCGCGACCGCGACGCTCGATTTTACACCAACGACGGCGACGAGGAAGGAGGCCGATGCAACAGACCCAGACAGGCTGCTGCAGGGCAGCCAGCTAGCCGTCTCTCAACCCCCGACGTCGGACACGGCATCCATGAGGTTAGCATATGAGGGAAGGATCAGCGCGAGGCATCGGCGCGCGCTCTCCGACTCGACCGTCCCCGAACCGAACGTGGCTTGCGATACAGACGACGCTGGCGTGTTCAAGGTCGTAATAACGCAGCCTGGCGATGACCAAAGGCCGAATACGGTTGGGGTGGAGCAAAACGACGGGCCCTTCCTGGATATATCGATCCCTTCGTGGAAAATCGGGAGCCCTCGATTTACCCCTTTGGGAACGGCATTGCTTCGAGGTTCTTCGGCTGGCGCGCCCACCGAAGACATACGCTCAACCGTAGCCTCGCCTCGAGCCGAAACCCCGCAGAGCGATCTCAACAAGCCAAAGAAGCCAAATCCCATCAGCATCCCTCGAATACGACTGCCCCAAGTTGGAGCCGAGCCCTCGCCCGTTCTTTTCTCGCCCGTAAAGTTGGCGCCTATCCGCTCAACCTATCTGTCCACGCATCTGGTGATCGAACCGGCCATGTTTGATGACCTGACGTTTAAACCTGCGTGCGACGATCGCTCGATTGTTCGATACTCCGCGGCTACGAGTGCGGTCACTGCCGCAACACCGCCCCGCCTGGTGGCCGAGATCACATCGCCGAGCTTTCTGGACTACGAACTGCTCTCGGACTTTTTCCTCACGTTCCGTGCGTTTCTCGAGTGCGACGACCTCTTGAAGATGCTAATCGCCAGGCTCCGGTGGTCACTTCGGAGAACCGACGAGGCTGGTATGGTGGTCCGCGTTCGCACCTTTGTGGCTTTGCGCCACTGGATCCTGAACTATTTTGTTGATGATTTTGTCGTCGATTATCACCTCCGCATCGTGTTCTGCAACCTTCTCAACGACCTTGTCGACGAGCTGTCACAAGATCCTGGCGCGGGAAAAGTCCAGGTTAAAATCTTGGGCGAGCTGAAAAAGTGCTGGAGGCGAATTTGTTCGCAGTACTGGGATGGCCCAGAGTTTGACTCGTCTCTGGGCCCCGAGGCCCCGATAGGGCCTGGAGGGATAGCCGGACATCGCCGGGCGAGCCTCGATCCTGGCTTCTGGGAACAGGACGACGAGCCGCCGCAGCTGGATGCGATATTCGGCTTACCAGCGGACGCGTTTCCAGAGGCCGTGCGAAGCAGCTTCGCCATGGAGGTGTCAAGAGCCGGCCGCATTGACTCTGTGGCTCTCCAAGATACAAAACCCGCGACATCAGCCCTGCAGCAGGGGCACCTGAGGAGGATGCCTCTTAGTGTTAGCAGCATCGACGTTATCTCGTGCTCATTCCCGACAAAAAACATGCTCTTCCCACAGCCCCCCACCGAAATCCCTCCAGCGGCACATCCCGTCGACCCGACATCCTTCTCTACGGCTCACAATGATCCCGTTGCGACGACACCACGAGCCCTGACCGGCAAGCGTGTCCGCCCTCAGCAGTCTCAGCACAAGCGCAATGGCAGCCTGACGGACTCCCTCAGGGACCACGGGCCGGCCACTGCGCCAGCCGCCGATAAGCAGATGGCTTACAGGGACACGGAGCTTCTGATGTCCATTCCTTATGCCGGTAGTCTCGTGCGAGGCGCCATGTTCCCTCCTGCACAGGCCTTTGTCGAGATCCCTGCTCCGAATTCCGCAGGAGCACCGAGGCAGACCACCATGTTCAACACGCACCCCCTCGAGACGCAGAAAGTGAAGGTGCCAGCATCGGCAATGTCAAGCCAAGGAATGAGGAGACTGCTGAGCAGCGTGCGGCGCGCTCTCAGCTCCAAAGGCACAAGCATTTCACCGGCCCAGGGGCACTTCCTCAATATATCTCCGATCGGCCCTCGTGGCGCAACAACAAATCGACTTCCAGGGACTGCTATAGTCCCGCAAGCCCGCCCCAGGCTCAACGGGACCAGACCTTCTGTTCGGATCGATCTCCTCGGGGCAGAGGTGGCAGAGGACTTTAAGAAAGCCATACGCGAAGACGCCGCCGCCGAGGCTGCAAGTTTCGGGCGTGCCATTCTTGAGGGCCTAGAGGACGACGATGACGATAGTGATAATTGGGCTTCCGGAGGAGAACCGGGACATACGTCGGGCCATTTGAACACGCCACTACAACCACAAAGCTCCGGTTCCATCCTTCGCCCTTACAGCGATACTGCCATATCGACAGGCAGCCAGTCTATCGTGATTGTCGACGATACTCTCCCCGCCGAGGGGCCTGTCATGACAGGAGCCCTCCCTGTCAGCAGCAACCATTCAATCGAGGCCTTTGCCGAGACTTTCATGTACACTGGAGGCGCAGACCCAACGCCACCAAACACACCACCTTCCCAGACAATGGGCACGCCGCGGAAGTCCTCCTACATCCTGCGCCACCCGCTTACGAGACAAGTCAACTCGGAAGAAATCCTGCCGGCACACGCGCCAGTCATCGAACCGGAACACACGACCCGCTCATCAGAAGATACTACTCGACCGTCGACGGACATGTTGCGACCGTCGGTCGAATTCATGCGGCAGTCCAGCCGACCACCACTGAGCGGGGTCTGGGGACATTTCCGTCAGCGGTCTAGTAGGTCGTACCAGTCCGTGAACTCTTTCGGGAGGAGACGGTATGCGTCCTTCACGAGCGGCATCGCGCCGCAGCTGACAATCCGGAGTTTCGCGACGTCGACCTACTCGGAAGCGTCTGTTGACGACGCTCCAGTCACGCAGCCTCTTCGTATGCTGAGGAGGCGCCCCGGGGGTGATTTGCGCGCCGCGACTAACATTGGCGAGCTGCATCCGCTTCGCCGGTCACGATCGGTGGGATCGCTCACAACCTACTCGGAATCTGTGCGCAGCTCCTACATTCGCAGTCCAGGCCAGGACTCGAGCGGCTTTATCGACGTGGTCACGAGCGAGTATTCACACGAGCGGGCTGCCGCCTTCTCCCTCGGAGCCATCACTGAGCAGCACCCCAAGAAGATATCCCTCTTTAGTACTCACTCGTCCAAGCCTGTCATGCGCCCTTCCTTTGAAGCCGAGGCGCAGAAGCTGGCGCAGATACCCGACGACGTTGGTGACGACGGAGGTGTTGAAGCAGCGCTGCTCAAACTCGAGGGCAAGTTTGACAAGAGGGCCTTCAAGCTGTCAATGGAGCCTACAAACCTCCGCCTGCCGTCTCTCGGGGCAGTTGCCGAGCACGGAGTGGTGACCAGTGGCGAGAAGAGGGAACATCGCCAGCTGCACATCAACGACGACACGCACTTGTCGCAGATGGTGGCGCATAAGCTCGAGTCTGGCGAGGCTGTGGGTGATGTCACTGACAGCGAAGCAGACACGGAGCTGACGCCAAAACAGCCTTCGACCTTCTTGGAGGTTACATCGTCCTCGCCGCTGCGCCCTGATTCCGGTATCCGTTCCTTCTTGTCGGGCGAGTCGTACTCGTCTATCCCATTGTTGGACCGTGGTCTCACCGATGAGGCGCGCAGCAACGCACCTACGCGGCAATGGGCCGGCATGTCTGTGCTTCTGGACTCTGCTGCTGGGACACCAACCGGGGCGCAGAGTCCGAGCTTATGGGAGCACATGTCCTTCGACTTTGTCAACAAAACTGATAGTCTGGACATGATAACGCCCGGTGAGACGCAGCCGCAGCCGCAGTCGCAGCCGGAGCCCGAGGCCCTGATGAGCTCGCCATCCTTCCTGGATGACGACAGCGATGCCGCATCCGATCTGTCCTCGGAGCTCTCCGTCGAGCTTGTGGCCGAGCAGGAGCACGGCGAAATGAAGATCCGAAAGAGGCCTGGGACCATCATCTCGGGGCTTCCCGTGCATCCGCTTGGCGAGCCTTCGACCACGGAATGGGGCCGTAAACCGCAGCCTCTGGCCGGCAATCCGCCGTCGCCACCAATAACAATGATACAGGCTCTGCAGATGTCTCCTGAGACGGCACGCGGCTCACAACCACACCGCCAATGGGCCTCGGCTGCAAAACCGCTACCGCTGCCGCCCACTCCAGACGCCACGCCGACGACTGCGGCACCCGAGCATGGCTTTGACTCGCCAAGGACCATGGCCATGGCCAAGGAGGCGCGGGCGGATGCGGGAAGGATGTCCTTGGCGCCCAAGTTCAACGCGCATCTGCCTTTTATCTTGGCATTTGACTCTGAGATTCTGGCGCAGCAGTTCACGCTGATCGAGAAGGATGCGCTCAACGAGATCGACTGGAAGGAACTGATCGAGATGCGGTGGAAGAACGCCGAGAACATTGACGCGCGGTCGTGGGTCGACTTCCTTCGCAACTCTGAGGCGCGCGGCGTCGAGGTGGTGATTGCGCGGTTCAACATCATGGTCAAGTGGTGCGTGTCCGAGATCGTGCTGACGCAGGATCTCGAGGAGAGGGCGCGCTGTGTCATCAAGTTCGTCCACATCGCGGCGCACTGCCGGCGCTTCCGCAACTTTGCCACAATGTCGCAGATAGCCATCGCCCTGACAAGTCAGGAGGTGTCGCGGCTGACACGGACGTGGGCCATGGTGCCGGCCAACGACCTGACGACGCTGCGCGACCTCGAGATGCTTGTGAGCCCGACCCGCAACTTCTACACTCTCCGGGCCGAGATGGAGGGCGGCGGGATAGCCAGCGCGGATACGGGCTGCATCCCCTTTGTGGGCATCTACACACACGACCTGCTGTTCAACGCCCAACGGCCGTCCGAGATTGCTAGCTCGCCCACAACGGCGCCGCTGGTAAACTTTGAGCGGTGCCGGATCGCGGCAGGCGTGGTCAAGACGCTGCTCCGGCTGCTCGAGGCGAGCACCTTGTACAGATTCCAGCCCATCGAGGGTATCACGGAGCGGTGCCTGTGGATGGGGGCACTGAGCGACGACGAGATCAGGCGGCTTTCGGACAGCTTGGAGACATGACACGATACGTCGGCGTGCACTCGAAACAAGACATGCTCGAGTGCTTCCGTTCTTGCACATGCTTTGCTTTTTGTCACATGCTTCCGTCGCATAGATCAATCCTTTCGACCGCCCACGCACATACAACTAGTACAGACATGTACACGTACGATATGCAGGCACGAGGCGCCATTATACATCGATACCTCCATATCGTTGCGTTGCTTGACATCTCCACGACCAACAACATAGGACATAATCGCAAAGCCAACGAGAGGGCCAACCTGGCGTTTCTGTCTTTTTTCTCCCCTTCTTCTTTTTTCTCCTGTTCCGTTTTTACTCGCCCTTTCTTTTACAGAAGACGATACCTAACCGACGCAGGCAGGCCACACTTGCAGCTATGGTGTCTTTCCCCGTCGGCAGCGCACATAACTTCCGAGTCTCTCTACGCCCACAATCCACAGCGATACGCACACCCGCCTTTTTTTCTTCCCATATTTTACGTCGCTCTGACGACCTGTTTTTTTTCTTCTTCTCTTGTCTTTTGTTTCTTCTTGGATTTGCTGTTCGGCTTGGCAATCATCCTTTGGGGTGCACCACACATCATCAGCGACGGACTACTGCGGATTTTTGTTTTGGGACGAGACGTTTTGGGAAGCGAACACTATAAAATGAAGGGAAGGAAACCGCTATGTGCTTTTTTTTTTCTCATTGCGCTCATATTGCATCCTGTGCGGTGTATAGAGCTTGTCATACCATCGGGCGTCGTTTTTCCTTTTCTTCGGCCTTCTGGGTCGTGCTAGAATCTACCATCTTCACCTATACCCCAACCATCTCTTTTTGCTTCCCCTTTTTTTCTTCTTGTTTTGTTCTCTTCGCTTCTCATGGTCGGTGTGGACACTAGCCACACTGCATTCTCCCAAGAGGGCCTCGGGGTCTGACCAGGGCGAATGTCTTTTCCGGCACGAGTGGGTTATCTGTTCTGATTTCTTTATGCTCTATGGCACATGAGCGGGATGAGAGACGTGTCGGTTGAAACGAAGACGGCGTTGGCGGCGAGGCGACTCTCTCGAAGCACGTGCAAGTCCCCAAGACGGACGGTGGCGGCGTGTGTGTGTGTGTGTGTGTGTGCCTGCCTGCACGACTTCGTCGGCCTAGGGAAGGAGGAAGCATCGGTAGGCCAGGGTAGGATGGGAAACAATGGGGGGAGCATTTAGAAGGGATAAGCAACGTGTGGGCAGTTCATCTTGGTCTTGTAGGGCTTTTGGTAGGCGGAAGAGGGAGGAGATGGGGGAGAAGGAGCGGCTGCGATGGAATGGCTGCTTGGGGAACTGGCAGAAGCCGTGTGGAAGAAAATAAGAAACAAATTCCAAAACTTGGGCATGTTATCTATCCGGTGGTGATGTTGCTCATGATGAATATTTTGCACGCTTGTGATGCCTAGACTTTGTTCATGCACCCCTGAGACCTGAGACTCCCTTCTGGTCTGGGCTAATGCTGGGGGGGAGTTGTTCGTGTGTTGTCCATAATCAGTAGCTGTAAGCGGCATCACAAAATTCTTTTACAGTCCACAAAGACCCAAGATATCATGGATAATATCATTTCTTGGTAAGGCTGTTGCAAAGCGGGTTCAAGTTGGTATGTATTGGGAAGAAAGTAATACCTATCCACTGTGAGGTGCGCTGACGTACGTGGGCGGACAAAAGTGTGGGGAGGGTATAGGGTGCCCACTAATATACCATGTAAGTCCACCTCTATAATCGTGATGGCCAGTGAGCCGCCGCGAGAGACAAAACAAGCTCCGGCGACCATGGAGAGCTCCCCATCAGTCCTTCCGCGGCCCAAAGCCATGCCAGGGCCCATCTTTGAACGTCTCCTCCTTCCATCGCTTGAGCGGGTCGTATCCTTGCCGACCATGCTCCTCCGCGACCGCCTCTCTGATCCGGGCGAGGGACGGCCCCTGCTGGCCTGGGTGCTGCGCCTGTCAAGTGTGCGTGTTAGTGTAAGAGGCCCTGCCCCCTAGAGCTGCTGTGGGCGGTGTGTGGTCTTACCGTGGCACCAGAGACCACCGTGGTATTTGATGGGACGACGACGACGACAGTCCCGTCGGCTGGGCCGGTGTCCCGCTTGACCGGTTCGCCCGAGTGGTTGGTGGTGTTTGACATGGTGTCAGGCGCCGGACTACACGTGTGTAGTGGGAGCTGGCACACCGAGGGGGGGGGGGGGGGAGGGGG